GTACTACAAAACCACTCATCATTTAAGAAAAAATATGTACTCGCAACGAGTCACTGTTGGGCGTGGTTTTTGGGCTGGTGAAGTCAGTGGACAGTACTTCTTCGAAAATTATACCGGTAACGCTGTTACCGATGAACGTTATCATAACATGATACAAAACTTTGTGGTTTCAACAGGACGGCGTCACTTGCCACACAGCGCAGGAAACAATGGCTCTACTACGAACAAAGCCCCTACCACGCATTATCTCACGAAACAACGAGATCATGCGAATTTTCACCATTGCACTCCTTTCTCTAGGACTACGTGTAAAGTATGGTCTATGCCAATAAGCCCGAGGCGATTCCAGAGCTGAAAAAATGTTTTGATATGTGCAACCAGTGTTACCAGAGCAGTAGCTTTGGGCTTTTACCGGGCATTGCGTTTCATCCATAAATGCCATAAACTAAAAAAACTTGATGAAATAAATAAAAATCCCTTTGACAAATTTTGTTTTATTGGTAAAAATAAGTCCGCGGTCTTATTGAACAATGCTGTAGCTTGGCACTTATCCCCCGACACTTATTCCAGTTGGTTGCGCAGTTGCAAAAATCCAACATTAAATTGGATATAGCTTCTCAAGCACCCTATAACTACTGACTGCGTCTTCCGCATTCTCAGAAACAAGTACATAGGAATATCGTCAGAAACCTCTTCACAAGATTTCGTAATAAAAATGGGAGCATTTCTCTTATTTTCAATAAAAAAAAAATTGGAGCTTAGTATGGAATCAAAAAGATCTACTGGCCCTTTCTATGCTTAGTACTTACTCTAGAAGATATTAAGCGAAATTGAATAGTCGAATTGATAGAGGCATCTCTTAACTCGGGGAATAACACTAATGATAGCCAAACTTATCAACACGTATGCAGCTGATATGAGAAATTAATAACTGCCTTAACTTCTGCTACAGCAGCCAAGTCTTTAGGGATCTGCGCCTAACCTTGGGAAGACCCAGATTCTATTATATGTAGCTTTATTTTTTCCAAACAGCGCTCGACCTTCAGCAGAAAATTATATCCTAATTAAAGTTGTTTATTCAACTCAAACAAATTTTGAGGTCACCCTTAAGGACCTCGAATTGAGTCTTAACTTAAATTGAAAACCAAATGTCGCAAAGAAGTTTATGTGCATGCCATGTTTACTTCTCTCTGCTTCGTATCCTTGCTAAATTCCCTCCTTAAATAATTATGTTGCACCAATGATTGCAATTTAAATCCCATCAATCATAGTCCAAAGCAAACACAATCTTGCCGCCTCACATTTCCTCCTTTGGCAATTCTAAACCCTTGTAGCTAACATCTTTACTAACATATTCACACGCCCTAATTAACGGTATTCCAGCTAGCTAAAGGTGCGAATTAGTATTCGCTAATGATTTCGTAATTTGCCAACTCACGTTTCGGCATTAAAATTTGTGCGCAACATTTATATCGAAATACGTTTATCCAATTACGTTGTTTAGTTGTCTTTGAAATTTCGTTTGTTTTTGTTGTGAGCGCTTAAAAGATACATTTGCCATTTACATGTCAGTGGGAATTCATTACATTACCTATTAGTAGGGCTTTTTTAATGGCTCACTGCTTCTTGTAAAAGCAGAGATAAGCTGGACGGGTTTGTCTCCATCCGCCTTATATTCTTTACTGGTGTATTGAATCTCATATACTCCATTACAGTGATGCCAGACATTCTCTGTTAAATATCCCACGGAAATGGGGAAAAAATCCCTCAATTACCCACATCTTGAAAATTTATCCCACAAAATTCCCAACGAATTTAAACATATACATGTTTCAGTAGTAAAGAAGTAAAATTCATATAAAATAATAATAATAGTTTGGCGTTTACACATATGTGCTTTTCCTCCAATTTGTGGCGGTCCCCTTGATGTTGTCACACAAACGGGAGGGACCTACAGTTTTACGCCGACTCCGAATGGCGAGTGTATTTTTATGAGAAGCTGTTTTTCATGGCAGGAATACACTCGGAGGTTTGCCATTGCCTGTCGAGGGCCGACCGCTGTTAAGAAAAAACCCCTTTTTCTGCTTTTTTTTCACTCATTAATTTTTTCCCTTTAATTTTTTTGCTCACTCACTAAGGGCCTAAAAGAATTTTTTGGGGACTTTAAAATTGAAGCACATTCATGTGCTATTTAACATTTCATCAGATAATTTGTTCCGCTTTTTACATGAAACACCAGTTACAACTGAAAAGATTCTTTCTTACTCAGCGCTTCAATTGGTTAACGTAAGAAAATTTTCGAAATTGTCCTTATACTATTTAACAATTATATACCATTTCACTCCACATCACATCTTCAGAACGATTAACCGTAGATCGAGCTTAAAAAATAATTCATAAATGAAGCCATGTATCATTTTTGATACATACTACAGTTCATAGGAAAAACTGATTTATTACAAAATTTTACTTTAGAGTTTTAATATGTTTATTTTTATTAATACATTATATGCAAGTATTTTTTAAGAGTTTACATGGTTAGGTGTTATTTATGCAATCTATGCAAACATTTTTGGCATGTTTGTCATTACAGCACGGCTTTTTACATGAAAAACAGAATGAAGAAGTCCACTTATTTTTGTTTTCTCCAGAATGAAAGCATTTTTGACACCTTGCGCGGTTTTTTTTCGGAGACTTATCAGTTTTTTGTTTTTTTGATGGGCCAGCATCATTATCATTAGTAACGGGGATATTCTTACTTCAGAGTTTCGAAAGCAGCACCAGAGATAGTTCATTTCTTGGGCCTTGTTTACGTTTTTCCATATAAGGCTTTGCCAACGAAATTGCCAACTCATGCAGGAAACATTTACGTTTTGTGTGCTTTTGAGTTTGCTTCCAATTGGGGTCGATTTCGTTGTATAAAATAAAAGAATTCAAAGCGGAAATATCAATAATGTTGGAAAATACCGCCATAGTCAAACGATTATTTTTACGTTTACAACTGTAGCAACTTAGCATTTTGTCAACCGTGTCCACGCCACCCTTCGTTGAGTTATAAAAAGAGATTATTTCGGGCAACTTTTTAGAGTCATCCCCAATATTAGGTGCGTGATGCATTGTACTCATGACAAGTGTACACTTGTTTTTATGACTGATGTACGAAACGAGAATGGTATCAGGAGTAAAGGCAAAAGTTGATTCATATCGTGGATTTTTTTTTGCAATTCAGTAGCTTTGGGGGAATAGATCTTTTATTTTTGCGCATAGTTCCAACCATTGTCATATTCTTTTGCAATAGTTTTTGGCCAAGGCTGTGAGATGAAAAAAAATTGTCCATGGTGACGTTATGCCCTTTTAGTCCATCAACTAAATCTAGAACAACCCGTTCTCCTTGATTCCTCTCAGGATTTCCTGTCACACCTTTTCCCAAGTAGGGCTGTATTTTCCATACATAGCATGTGCGTGAATCAACAAGTAGCCAAAATTTTAAACCATATCTCTCTGGCTTCGATGGAATGTACTGGCGAAATTTACAACGACCATGAAATCCCAATAATTGCTCATCCACAGTAACAGAATCAGTAGGATTGTAGAATGTGGGAAGCCGTTCAGACCATTTTTCCCAAAGGTTTCTAATTGGTGCGAATTTGTCATCATTTCTTTGGCCTCGTCGGGTGAGCACATCATCAAAACGAATGACTTTGTGGATATATAAAAATGTTTTCTCAGACATAATTGACCGAAATATTGGCCGTCCACAATATTCATCAAACAAATCATGCAAAGTTTCATTTTTGGATCTGATAAACATATAGTAGTTATAAGCTTATATTTTTTTAAACTTTTCTGTTGTTAAACTTACTTATATACACCGGCCAGCAATAATACGGCCAAGTAGGCATGAAATAAATCCTCGTAAATTTCGATATGGTTAGACCCATGTATATACTTTCCGTAGTTGTTTGAGTTATCCATTACAATTTTTGATAGTGACGGCGGAAAAAGTAGTAGGAATGAATCCCGAATATTGTTCACCCGGCTGGATGCAAATCTTGTTACTCCTAAAGCCCAGTAATCTTAATTCTATGACACTTCAATAAACAATTACTACTAACCTGGGCGTAAATTTATGATATTTTCTCTCCCCAATCGACCAGTGGCGTAAGGCTCGCTACGCCAAGTAGTACCATCTTTTGCTATATACATTGGATCAGCTTCTGAAGTACTGCCAATAATGTCATCCGGTTCAGGTAAGCAGCTTTCAGACGAACTGCTTTCAATTTCAGTTTCAGGATCGGAAACATCTTCATCCTCTTCACTCTCATCCAGTACTTCATTCACTAGTTCCTCAAAGGTCAAAAACCGTGGACGCGACATTACTTTGAATACGCACAATTATGTGACAAAATAAATGAATCTTCAAAAAAGCACCCCAAGAAATAAAAACACACCACAAATATCAAAAATCGCGTAGCGAATGACGTGCACCGCAGCAAAAAAACGTTTGAATTGCCATATGTATCAAAAATGATACATAGCTCGAATTATGAAGTTTTTGAATTTCTCATGGCCTACTTGCAAAATTTTTTGAAAATATCTTTAAAAATAACAGCAATAACAAAATAAACAAAGTCGCGAAGAATGCAGCACTTAATTTTTTTTTTTAAGAAGTTATGATAAGACATAAAACAAAATGTATCATTTTTGATACAAAGCTCGATTAACGGTTAATTACGTAAGAATGTCGAATATTCTTGAATTTTGATCAATTATGCAACAATAACTGCGTCAAAAGAAAATCCCTTATTTATATGAAGTGTCCCTTTTTTCCCTTCTAATAATTTTTGATGCAAAATATCCCTCAAATAGGGAAATTACCCACAATCTGGCATCACTGCTCCATTATAGTCCAGCTTTGTAATATTTAAGCTTATAATTCCTAACAATATTGTGCTTTAGTTACTTATGTATATAATAATAATAATAATACTTAATTATTGATCGGCGCTTACACATACATATGTTAGTGTACAGTTTTACGCCGACTCCGAATGGCGATTGCAATTTTGTGATAACAGTTTTTTTTTGGCAGAAATATACTCGGAGGTTTGCCATTGCCTGCCGAGGGGAGACCGCTGTTAAGAAAATACCTTTTTTCTACATATATTTTTTTTACGATCTTGCTTTGACCAGAACTTGAACCCAGGTCCTGGGGAGTGTTGCGCACTGCTAACCACTACATAATATTATTTGGTTGGAAAAACGAGCGGAGGGGAAGAGTTGGTTTTGCCTTTAATGTACTTAGGTTTGAGATTAGCGCTACAAAAATTTGGTAAGCAGCTATAATCTTTTAGGGAATGTTGTAAAAATTTAGCATTCTTTAGGACAAAAATATTTATTCCGATTAAGTTAATTTAAGTTGGTTACACTACAGGAAGTTCCACTACCATTTGTCACACTTGAGTTGATTAAAGTATGCAAAAATTTAAATGTATTTAATTAATTAATCCCAAAGGTTTTACCCTTCTTTCCCGCCCAACTACACTGAAAAAAGAGTTTGGTTACGTCAATTAAATATGTTTCTCACAACACATGATTTGAGAGAAATATATTTAGCTTACTTTTTGCACAGGGGAAGGCGCGGTAAAAATTGTCAAAGAGCATATCCGCCGGATGATAGGGCCTTCTTAATATACTCCATAACCCGTAATGGTTACAGTTGACCGCAGGTCAATGTGTAAGATATAAGTAGTAGAAATTGGGATCGTATTTATCTAATATCGATCTATTGAAGGCTTTGATCGCAGCCTGACAGCTATACTAGAGGGGTTGTAAATATATTCCACAACAGAAACTCCAAATAGGAAAGTACCTGGGGAATGTTGTAAAAATTAAGAAGTTCTCAAGGATGGAAGTGAAGTGGAACCCTTCAAATGTGCGCTTTGCAGTTCAGCTCATTCCGGATGATATTCATTGCATTGTGTTTGGCCGAAATCCGAGTCTGAAAATAATCCGTTAAAAGTAATCGAATATTTTCATTATGTTTCCTTGCCTTGGAATGTTCGTAACAAATTTTGCGGGGTAAAAGTAAATTTGCAAAGAAGCAACACGGTGCCACTGCTAAGGTAGCGGTGCGAAAGAGACAACTGTCAGTTTATCGAACCTTTAATTACTGAATCATGGTTAGAGCCCTTGCAAATTAATTATTAAATTATTTTTACCGTAATGTATGTTTATCTAGAAAATATACTTCTGTGTCTTTAACATTTGGAAATTTTGCCTAAAATCCCATTTACAATTTATATTTATCATTGAGATGAAATATTAGACATAATAAATTTTACTATATTCACATCAGATATTTGTTTTTTTTTTATCTCCTTGATGTGTTCACAGAGGCGTTAATAAAAAAAAATAATTGAAAATAAGATGACCTTCCAGGGTTCAAGAATTGTTTGTTGAGTTAAAGTTTTGTTTAGAAATGTTAATAAAAACCAACAAAAGTGAAAAAGTAATGATGCTATTTTTTAATCTCGAGCTCTGGGCATCGGAAAAGGTGGCCACCCTATTTACTTTCAATCCCATTTTTTTCTCTTTGCTTCTTCTCTTTACGGTTTTATTTGCGCATTAACTCTTCATATCTAAAACAATTTATTCAATACTTTCCACAAATTTCGTTTTTGCATGTAGGGGTGATAATCCGAATCGTAAAGCATCCTGATCCATAACTTTATTAATAACTAGCTTTTGCCCGCGACTTCGTATGCGTGGAATTTAGAATCTA